TTATTCGATAATCTCGGATAATTGCTGATAACATATATCTGGACTATGACTCATGTTCCAGTCTGTCTGATATCGACCTAGAAACTATTATTCCGATATTAGTAATTATCAAAGAATTCCAGATCTCAGAAATCTTGTAATAACAGGTCGCCATAATGTGCAATCATTACTGCCTACGCCAGTTATGGTCTATGCCATATATTTCTACCGAGCACCAGGTTTGGGGGGTAACTTTGTCAGCTGATATCGTGTAATCATTTAAATATTATTTACCGGCAATGTACATGCCTACTATCCAGCTTTACCCGGATATATGATGCAATTTCATGCTCTTTGTTTAGTGTTATATTGGCTTTGAACTTTATTTCAAGGTGTAGCCTATCTATGCATCTATTTCATACTTGTAATCCCCGTGTCAACCATTCCATTAACAAATAATGCTATTCTAAAACTGTAATTACATTCAGAAATGATCGTGATTTGTTAGTAACCTTTAATGACAGTGGTGGTATTATGTTCGATGATATTGGTCCATAAGACGTATCCAAAGCGTGGAACACACATTGTTTGCTGCGCGACGACCATTATCATTTAAGATTAGAAAACGGTGCGTGTAGTTTATATACAATACAGAACAGTATGATATAATATTTTATATTTAATTATGATATTTTAACTTTGACATAACTATCACCACAACCTTGAAGTTTTGTATATTTGAAAGTTGCTTTGAAGAGTAAAACTGTCCCGGAAAACATAAATTACATTTATTATATAAGATAAATGTAATGTTGTAAATAACCATTGATTAAATAAATAAATAAATACCAAACGCACAGTAACTTCAATCTGGGGCGTCCATTTACGTATATTAAGATTGAAGCCAGAAAAACGAATTTGAGTTTTGTTTGCCATTGTGCTAGAAAGGCGCAACATAAGACAGATTTGGCAGCCGAAAGGCTATGAATTGTTGCGTTAATTCATTTGTAAAACATGTTCTGTGTTTTCTTCATATATTCCACGGGATCTATAGGAGCTGGTTCTTTTTCCTGGTGTCCAATTATAGCCAGGAGAGTAGTTCGGCAATCGCCACTCATCGCCGCCTGCAATGTCAAGAACGCAATATCATTATAGTTGTATTGTCGGCAACCTTTGAAGCCGTTGTTTTGTCAAAGAATATGCGTAATATATTAGATACAACATTCGCAAGTTATCGTCGTTAGATATTCTTGCCATGCAGTAGCTGAATATTGCAGAGTATTTCCGTACTTATAAATGCGATTGAGTTTTCAGCAGGTTATGGCGCCATCAAAATCACCGAACGAAAACTATTTAGGCTCTTTAAATATTGTAAACCGTGTTTCGCAGTATAGGGGTTAACTATTGTCTGTTCGGGATGGCAAACAGACGGGTATGGAATGTGGGGTCACGTGACTGGGGGGTATTTAAGTGCAAGACGGGTTGTGGAATACCAGTCTAGGCCAGTCTCGCTACGGTGCAGTTTCCAACTATTTTGTTTTGTAAATTTATTATTTTTTATTGTATCACACTGGGTGACACACGCCACCTTCCCCTGGGCACGCTCGACACTGAGACGTGTACACGTTTTCAGAGATTTTTTGTCCAATTTCCTATACAAAATGTCTTTTATTGCTGTTTTTTTCCTGGGCGGTCGGCGTGCGAGTAACGGGGTGATATTTTTGTTAACGATTTGTCAGTTATTTTAAATGTTTTCTTTGACTTATTAATATTAGTGGCATTTGCCGAGCACCAAAAATCGATATTTTTTCGCAGCCAATGCCGGCTTTTTGAAGATTTTTGAATGCTAATTCAAGTTAATGTTGTTTCCATCATTAAGTTTTTGTATTTTCATTCAGTACAATTGTGCGCAACAAGCGATGTAATGGCAGCCGTTTTTAGTCTACTTATTAATGTATTATGTCAAATAAATGGTTCCCCGGACTGACTGCACATATGTGGCCGCGCCTGGCATGAACCTTACCTTATGCAAGTGTGTGCATTGTCGGATGAGGGTGAGTCTCGTAAAAACGCAGCTTTTGTGTCACCAAAAACCTTGCCACTAGAGGGCACTACGTGATTAATCCGACCGTGTGAAATGGCTTTTAATTGTACATTTGGCCGACAATGTAACTTTTGAATTAACTCGCGTTTCTCATAAACAGACTGTGTACAATGTATTCGGAAGATACAGTATAGCCCGATCCTTGCAGCACTTTTTCCTCCTAGGAGGAATGAAAATCAGCACTCACTTTATTAGGTCACTTGTGCTGAATATAATTTTATGGTTCATTTACTGGTTTTGAAACAAAGAGTATGCTACTACTATGTTTTACTCGAACAATACTCAACAAATTTGGCGTCTTTGAAAATATGTTAGGAACATTGCGCAGATGAAATGACCGCCAATATCTTGCTGAGAACAAGAGGGCTTTCCCTGTGATGACCAATATATCTGTATTTCATCTAGTGTCGTGTCAAGTCGCCAAGCAGTGATTGACAATACACGTGTAAGTTGTTGTAAATACATTGTAAGATGTTTAATTCTGACAAAGACACCAGAAAATACTTATTTGTATTGTTAGTGTATTTGATCCTGACGCTAAATGGAAGACTCGGATACGTAACCGCAAGTATTATTCGTTCGTTTTAATGTAATCTTTTCTAGAAAAAATCAAATTATTTTTATTCCAAATTTGGGCTGGCTATAAACGTTTGTGAAAGAAATCACACAGCCACGTTGTCATTGCTGCAAATCAGACGTAAACAAAATATCTGTGAATCGCCTTCTTGCAATTTTTCCTGATATCATTACAGTTTATTTAGATACCCACTGCAAACTATCATTTACCGTGTTATTAAAACAAAAAGCTATCCATCTCAACTGAATTCTATTAGATCATCACACTAGTAATTCGACACGCCACCAGGTCACCTATTCAAAACAAGCTATCAAGAATATTACCGCACTATGTCAGTGGGACACCTTCATCAAGGCTTGTAATAGTGTTATATATTTTTAGTCGGCCAGTCACGAAATCTCGCCACTCGCGAGATTACCATTGCATCTTTGATGAGAAAACTGTTTAGCTCTGCGATCTTTGGTATACTCGAACAAGGTTAGGCTTGAGATTTGTGAAACTGAAACTGAAGCTATTCCATACAGTTCATATACAATACGGTGCAATACAATATATTTTTATTATTTTATTATTATTTATTATTATCTTGACATACTTATCCCCATATCCCACAACCTTAAAGTTTTATATTTAGAAGTTCGATTCGAAACGAACATTACATGTTATATTGCCTATCACGTGCATACGAAGTATACTTATAAATATAATTTCTGTAAATAGTTGGCGTTTTCTGCTATGAAACACTAATCAGCCCCGGAAAATAATTGATTATCGATAAGATAATTAATCTTAATCTAACCAATATTGAAATAAATAGTTATATAAGTGAATACTAAATACATTTAAATATTAAACGCTCAATCATTGGCATCCGCATTCGTGCATGCCAAAATAAAGTCGAAAAAACAAACAAATAAACTTGAGTCGTTACGCTCGATAGAGGGCGCAACATATGACGGAAGCTAGCGGATTAAAAACCAAATAATGTATTGTTATATTGATTCACTACGTTATATTTATAAATCTATTCCTGCGATTTCTTCTCCTCTCCGGTTGGTTGTTTTTCTGGGTTTCCAATTAAAGCCAGAAGAGTGGTTCGGTAATCACCGCTCGTATGAGCCTGCAATGAGAATATAATCTCATTAAAATAATCCACACGTGTTTCCGGTTTGCAAATGTTTCATGGCACAACAGAGGTAAACATGACTGTGCCTTAAGATAGAAGCTTACACATTAATTGAAATGCCCTGAATTTACCAAATTTTCAATAAATAAAAGAATATATGGTCAATACATTGTGCTGTATCTGAATCAGTAAGCTGGTTACAGTGGGCGGGAACAAAATACACAAATGTATATCGTATATGGATACTTGTTGTTATTCTGAATTGTTCCCACATTCTGGGTTTAAAACGTGACAAAATTGTATTTTGATTTAATAATGTAGGCACTATAGAACTGTTCTAAATTATAGTTACTTCAAAAATATATTGACTTCAAGTTCATCTGCTCAAAATACAGCGCTGTATACGAACATAACGCTGTTTCATGTTTCAGCGGTTTATGACCAACTTTTTGTTAACATAATGAGTAAGCGTTTACCTTAAGTAGTATGAACTGTGTGCATTTGGAAAGCTGGCATTTATCCAGTTCCTTGGGATTTTTTAAGAAGGCAATACAGTTTTACGGTAATGTTTTACTTGAGGTTGAAAGATAATTTAAGGACGTTATCCGATCGCGTGTTGTTATGTTTTATCATTTGTGTTTAGGGAAAATGTTAAATTATGATATTAGCGATAAATAAACCGAAGTAACTCTGCCAACAATGCCCACATTTCACGGAACACATATTTTGTCGGGTTTCATTTTGTCAGTTTCTTGGGTACGTTTTTTGTTTTGAATTAACAGATAGAAAATAAAACAAAATGTTGTATAACAATGAATGTTGTGTACGTATCAGATAAAGAGGCGCACTTTAAAATTGAGAGAGTGTATGTTGCTGAATATTATTTTCTTGATTTAGAACAATCGTAGGTGTAAGTAGGGCAAAACAATTCTCTAAATCGATTACAAAAATGTATTATATTCTAAGGCTTAGATTTGTATCTGCATAAAATTGAGAGAGAGTGTCGGGGATGGAGAGTGGGGACCGTCTCAGGGAAAGTATACGGGTATATATCACCCACATGCCGGTAGATGACCCGAGAATTTTTATTTAACTCCGTGTAGCAGTCGGTGTCCATTTCTTATCCCGTCGCGTAGAAGTTATTGTAGGCTCAGTAATTTAAAATGTATAAGCGTAACTTTTGAGCACAAAAAACATGCCATATGACAACAAATGCGAAATCGTCCATGCAACCTATTTCCATGGTGAAAGGAACATTGTGGCTGTGGTTTTAGCTCTGAGGGCACTTCATAACTTTGATTTTACAGGTGGGAAACTCCACTCCCCCGTATTTGCATATATGTTTGCCTTTCCAGAAACAAACAGCGACATATTAAATTTTCTGATTTCAGGCCATAACCTAACAAGCGTGAATGAGTAAAACGCTTGCACACATACCGTGTCAATGCTGAATCAATTCTGCTGTTAGGATTCGTTATAAGGTGACCCATTTGCAAACTGCGTATTAGTTGAAAAACAAACAATAACAATATTTTATCTAAATATTTGACTATTGTTATGTCCGCATTATTTATACATTATACAACCACAAACTTGTTTTCCTCTTCATACAGAACATTTTTCTCTCGAAATGCTTCACTCAATCCCCAGTTTTCAATTGCGTAACCCCTAATTGTTATGCCGATAAGTAGTCAACGTATTGTGTGTCACCAAGTTGCATTGATGTTGTCATGACGATGCTATGGGGTGACGCCCTCACTGGCGGAGTCCACATGCCGTCATGACAACGCATGCAAAGTATTTAGACTATTGGTTGAACGATTAACACTGTCGTTTATAAAAATGGGGGGGTTCCAGCGTATTAAGGGAGAAGAGGACCGGGGGCGTATGGTGACGATTGTAGTGGTAATAAATATCTGGCTGTACTATACTGCTGATGTCTTAATGATTGAATGGTGCGTATAAGTGTCGAGCGATCCTAGTGTACCACTCACTGCCTTGCGAGTTACCCATTCCCCGTTACAACCACTTCCCGTATATTCAACCTGACGAACCATCCCCCCTTAACAACCCCTGATAGACGAAACCCGCACTGTTTACATGTGTTTCTACTTACGGTAATAGAGTCTCCCAGGGTTTCTTTGAACATAGTATGGTATTGCCTCTTGATATCTCCCATACCACACTCACTTCTTCGTACCACCACGCGGATCACGGTGGCGTTGTCTGTACGAAGGATAGTCTGTTTATTTGGGATAAATACTTTGGTCAGTAAACGACAAGGCATACATGAACAGATAACACTAATGGAGGTGATATTTTGCGAATATAATGCATGGGGTGTAATCAAGGAGTGTATGATAAACACCAAATAATATAAGATGTGGATCGCTGATAACACTCTACGTTTGTAGCAAAGACTAGGACAAGTACAACTTTTTTTTTTAAATTTTGTGGAATGAAAAAAATATGTGTTCAAGACAAATGTTTGCCAAGATACACTATGACAAACAAGATTCGTAAATATTCAAAAAAATATACTGCCAGTGTTGGAATTTAGACTTAAATACACTCTAGGTCAGAAAGACCAATAGAGTTATCAAGATCCAGGTCCCAATAAACAGGCCTAGTCACGTTTTTTAACCACGCAAATTTATATTGGAAGAACATTCCAACGCAACCAAAAAATTTAATCTATTCATATACACATAATCTTTATTGACTCATGCATGTTAGACAAGTAAAGTATTAGTATAAATTCAGTGAAGATCTGATATAGTCTCGAATGTGAAATATTGTCATAACGCTTAGCTGAACTACGTTATTTTTTCTCGGAAGGTTTCTTACTTAATTTCATCAAATGTATTATCACCTGGGACTGCAATTCTTTCTATTCGGGCTTCCAACGTATTCAACTTTTGACATGATTTATTGATTTATTTATATACTTATTAGTTATGCGAAACAACCCAGTAATTGTCTGGCACAGATCATGATGAGAGAACTATCCAGGCATGCAGACACAGTAATAAAACACACTAGACAATGGTGTTTCCATTATATGTCCTTTAATTTATTATTGATTATATTCTACACGATTTTAACCCATCATCACGCGTTATCAATGAATACACGTGGCATTTGCATCGAAGTGAAAACCTAAA